ATTATTGTTTTTAACAAATTTACTTATTTATTTATTTTTGGCTGTGTTGGGTCTTCGTTGCTGCATGCAGGCTTTCTCTAGCTATGGCGAGCAGGGGCTACTCTTCGTTGCAGTGTGCAGGCTTCTCCTTGCAGTGGCTTCTCGCAGTGGCTTCTTTTGCAGCGGAGCATGGGCTCTAGGTGTGCGGACTTCAGTAGTTGTGGCACGAGGGCTCAGTAGTTGTGGCTCTTGGGCTCTAGAGCGCAGGCTCAGTAGTTGTGGGGCATGGGTTTAGTTGCTCCGCGGCACGCGGGATCTTCCCTGACCAGGGCTTGAACCCATGTGCCCTGCATTGGCAGGCGGATTCTTAACCATTGCACCACCAGGGAAGTCCCAAGTCAATGTTATTTTGAAATAACATTGGAAAGTGCTTTTGCATGTTAACTGAGAAAAGCAGAATCAAAGTTTAAACCACGGTGAGACCTTAACTATGTAAACTATCAATAAATATATGTTCAGGAAAAAAAAATCTGGAAGGAAATTCACCCGGGGTTGCCTCTGGGTGATTGAAAGGGATGACTTCTTTTTTCTTCTTTGTAATTACCTGTGTTTTCCGTTTTACTACAGAGTATGTGTTACATGTTATTAACAGCAACAAAATTCTTAATAGTCATTTGTGGTCCGCTGAGTGTCACGTGAAGTAACCACGTGTGCGACGCACCCGCTGGGCTGAGTCGTACCTACCAATTCGACTGGTCGAATGGTAGGCATGGTCGGCTTGCCGCAGCTTTTGCAGACTTGCCTTATCGCTCTGCCCTCCTCAAGAGCCGGGACCTTGCCGGCTGGTCCTGGTGCTTCCCAGCCCACAGTGCGCACGTAGCCTTCTATGTTCAGAGCCCGCGCCATCCATCGGGGTCCGGCTGGGCTGCGCGGGGTGGGGGGGGGGGGGGGGAACCAACGGCGTGGGTGGGGCTCTGGCGCCCCCACGTGTCCAGCCCAGGAAGTCCTCATTTAGAAGAGACACAGGGGCTTCCCTGGTGGCGCAGTGGTTGAGAGTTCGCCTGCCGATGCAGGATACACGGGTTCGTGCCCCGGTCCGGGAAGATCCCACATACCGCGGAGCGGCTAGGCCCGTGAGCCATGGCCGCTGAGCCTGCGCGTCCGGAGCCTGTGCTCCGCAACGGGAGAGGCCACAGCAGTGAGAGGCTCGCGTACCGCAAAAATAAATAAATAAGAATAGACACAGGACTCCAATGATGCCCAAGACCCCATACCCACTTGGGACCCCTGAGGCCTTCGCCTGGGACTGAGAAAGGGTTTCCTTCTTCGAAGCTGTCCACCTCAGAAAGGGATCACTTCCTCAAGCCCACGCCCCATCCTCTCAGCATCCCTTTCCCAGAGACACCTGGTTTCAGCCCACGGGGAACCAGAACTTTCCAGCAGGACTTAAGAGGCTTTTCTCCTCTCATTCATTTTGCTTTCTCCAATTAGTTTTCCCACAAACCCAGACATGCTCTTTTTCTCACTGACTTTTTTTTTTGGCTGTGTTGGGTCTTCGTTGCTGCACGCAGGCTTTCTTTAGTTGCATCGAGCGGGCAGGGGCTACTCTTCCTTGCGGTGTGTGGGCTTCTCATTGCGGTGGCTTCTCTTGCTGTGGAGCACAGGCTCTAGGCGCGTGGGCTTCAGTAGTTGTGACACGCGGGCTCTAGGGTGCAAGCTCAGTCGTTGTGGCGCATGGGCTTCATTGCTCCGCAGCACGTGGGATCTTCCCAGACCAGGGCTTGAACCCGTGTCTCCTACATTGGCAGGCGGATTCTCAACCACTGTGCCACCAGGGAAGACACTTCTCACTGACTTTTGACCTCAGGCTCAACTCCTCTGTCGCAGGGAATATAAACTTATATTTTATAATCACTATTTTCTTTTCAGAGGGGGAGCATAGTGTCACAGAAGTAGGGGTCTACAGCCAGGACCCTGGGTCCTCTGCCATCTACTAGCTGTGTGGTCTTGTCGAGTTAACTCTGAGTCCCCATTTCCAGGGGCAAAGGGGACAATATCCACCTGTCAAGACAATATGAGGGTCAAATGAAATAGCACAGAGATGCTTTGGAATTTATAAAGGGCCAGAGAAAGTTTGGTTCCTATAGCTCATTTTCCCTGTTTGGGGCCCTTTCCCTCAGTCTGGGCTCCTCATTCCCCCAAGTGATAGACTCCCTCTCTGAGGCTCCTACTCTGCCTGACACGTCCCTTTGTCCACAGCAGTCCACGTTTTCTGGCTCCCAGTGGAATGTAAGGTCCCTGAGGACACTGAACACACTGTCTTGTGCATTTCCCTGTCCCTGAGCTGAGCATGGAGTGTGGCGCAGAGGGACATTAACTGCTTGTTTGCAAAGTCAGTCCTGCCCCTTTCCTGCTGCTCTCATTGGCTTCTATTCCCTCCCCCCCATCTGTCCTTGCCCCAGGTCCTGAGATGTCACCACCCTCAGACTGGGTCCACATCATCATGTCTCAGTATTCACGCTGAGTTCAGGATGCAGCACAAAGAAGGTGCTCGCTAAGTGCTGGCTGGTTGAAGAAAGCTTGGAAGGAAATGCTCTCCTTCAGGCTCTGCTTCTCTGAGGGACTTATGGAGAGAGAGCCCTGCACTGGGTGGGCAATGCTCAGGTCACAGCCTCTCCCCATCAGCCACCGCTGGGTGCCCAGATGTGCATCTGAAGCTCTGAGGGCCTTGTCGCATCTCCCTTAGAGCAGGGGCAAGGCTGGGCGGTGTGAGGATGCAGTGACTGAGCGACATTTGTGTGTGTGTGTGTGTGTGTGTGTGTGTGTGTCTGTCTGTCTGCTCCTCAGAACACACAGTGACACCCACCAACAAAGACAGACACCACAGCAGCCAGGGGTAGAAACAACTAGTGTATTGATTTGGGGAGGAGAGAAGGGGTGCAGATGGGAAATGGGAGGCAAGGGGCTCCTTAGTTTGCCAAAATCCACTGCCACACACCCTCCACCCTTCCTCATCTTCCTCCTCTGTGGTGGGGCCCCAGCAGGCTCTCCCCCATTCTAGTCAGCCTCCCTCTCCCTCCTCCCCTACACCCACCTGACCTCGACCTCCAGTGACTGGGCACAGCCCACCCCTGGCTCTGAAGCTGGGTGACGGCAGGCTCATTCTAACCTTTCTTCACCCTCCTTCTACCTCCCACCTCATTCCCATCTCTTGTCTAAATAACATACAGAAGAAGCAAGCGCAGCTGGTACCTGGGAGAATCAAGTCATCCCGGGGCTGGGGACAGAGGGGAACTGGGGGCGGGGCAGGCAGAGGAGCCTCAGCCAGGTGTAGTGGAACGATGGGGGATGGCCCAGGGGCCTGGCGGAGAAGACTCCACACCTGCCTCTCAGGCACCATGTCACAGGGTCCCCAGGATGGGGGCAGCAGGCAGGGCAGAAAAGCAGAAACTAGGCTCTGTAAAAAGCATCCCTTTCCCTTGGCTCCCTCTTTGGTTTTAAGGCAGATATGGAGTTCCCCAAAAGCAGGGAAAAAAAGGGGGGGATTGAGATAGATGCGCTTTTGGGGGGGGCTTATGTTTTTCCTTCAGTATAAAACCACTGTAGAAAATAACTTCTCTTAGAAAAAAACAAAAACATAGAAGAAAAAACAAAGGGGTATTTTTCTTTGGCGTCAAGCCCCTTCCCAGGAGGGGCAGGGCAGGGGTGGGCATGAGGTGAGGAGGAAGCAGGAGGCCTCCGCCCCCATCCCTGCCTGGCAGGTCCCAGATTACATGATGCTGCAGTTCTGGGGGCTCTAAGAGAAAAGAGAGAAGGGGAGAGGTGTGAGCTGCAGCACCTGGCCCGTACCCTCCCTCCCCTTACCCCCCGCCCCGCCCCTGCCCTCCAATCTGGGGCTCAGACAGGAGGGGCAGGATGCGGGAGCGACCATCTAGGATCTTGGGCTTCGGGGAGGAGGCTCCCACTCCCCCGGGCTGCGGAAGAGAAGGCTCTCCCCCCACAGGGCCACCCTAACCCTTAGGGACCAGGGCCCCCCTGCCTGTGGGGGTGTAGAGGCAGAGGGACAACTCACCTGGGTTCGGGGTCTGCAGTTGCCCAGGAGGTAGGAGCGGGTGACCAGGCTGTCCCCGAAGCTGCCACCCCCACTGCCCCCCACACCGCGGTAGCTGCGAGTGACTGTGACACTGGAGGCGGAGGAGCCAGAGGAGATGGATCCGCCCACCTGGGCTCCCGAGCTGCTGGCAGACGCCTTGTCTGCAGGCTGCCCGCACGTCCCGCACAGCACGGTGCGCGAGCGCAGGTTGTACTCGGCGGGGTCCCCCGAGCTGCTGCCGTGGGAGCCCTGAGGAGGGAGATAAGGCTCAGGCCGGACGGCGAGTCTGAGACTGACTGCTCAGGCCCAACACCCAGGCTCCGCGCTCCTGCAGGTTCCCAGTTGCCAGGCGGGAAGGTGGGGTTCTGCGCTCAAGTAACCTAACCTAACCTAACCTAACCTAACGGCGGGTGGGCGATAGGGCTTAGGGGGCCGGGGCTGGGAAGGGAGGACACGAAAGGGGGCAGGGTCATGAAGACTTGGGGACGGAAGACAGGGAATGGGAGTTGTGGCTTTGACTCTGTCCTAGCTACTCTGAGCTTAAGAGGGAAAGGAGAAAGAGTGAGCAAGCGTGTAGAGCAGCAGGCATGCAAAATTAATTGGGAAGTGGGGTGGGTGAGAGAGACCGTTCTCCCAGGAAAAATGGGGGAGATGAGAGGCCATGCAGGTGACAGGAACGGGGAGGAGACAAGAAAGAAGATGCATGCAACAGAAATTGGGGGAGAGAGGCAGGGCTGGGTGCCCCACATCTGTCCTCCCATCCCTGTCCCAGGAGACAAATCCAGATGCTTGTCCACTGCTCCCATGGGAAGACTCCATGGCATCAGAAAGTTCCACTCCCTTCCTTACCAGAGTAGGGAACCCAGACACCTGGGTTCCCTGTTCAAGGTATAGGGAGGAGAGAGAAGAAAAGCCAGGGCAGCAAGTGAAGTTCCAAAACATTCTTTAATGAAAAGATTTTTGGGGCACGGGAAGGCCAGGGAGAGGCTGTCCCCAAGGCCTGGCTGGGTGCCCCAGCATGGGCTTGGCCTCAGCGGCGGCTGCCACTCACGTGGTGGTGATGGAGCAGGTCATCTCCATCCTCATCCTCGTCATCCTCAACCATAGTCACTGAGCGCACCAGCTTGCGCATGGCCACCTCCTGCCGGGGATACGAGAGCCCCAGGGGTTAGGGGCTCAGGGCCAGGGGAGGAGTGTGCAGCATACCCAACCCAGTGACCACCTAAGAACCTTCGAGTGGCCTGCCCTTTGTCCAGCCTGCTGCTTACTCTGTCCTCTGTGGTACTGGAGCTAAGGAACTTGTTTCTACCCCAGGGTGACACTGTCAAACTCTCTGGGTAGGAGCACGGTCTGCCTTAACATTCCTCACTGTCTAACCTCCACCACTCCTGCTGCTGGGGGAGGCAGCTTTGGGTCTGTACACTGGGTGGAGAGTTTGGGGCCTGGGACTGTACAGGAGAGCTGGGAGAAAGTGGCCCTGAATTGGCCCCTTTGGGTTGGGGGCAGCTGGCTCCTACTTTGGCCGTCAGGGGAACTTTGTCCAGTAAGAGGCCAGCCTGCAGCATACTCACTTCCCCAGTGGAGTTGATGAGAGCCGTGCGCAGGCTGTTTCCACAGCCCCAGGTGTTCTGTGCCTTCCACACCAAGTCAGTAGGGGGGCTATGGGTGGCCCCAGCTCCTGCAGCCCAGATCTGGGGGAGGGAGAATTAGAGAAGGGTGCTCACTCCAGCACTCCCATCCTCAGGCCAACCCATCCCCACCCGAGGCCACCCCAGAGTCCCAAACACCCTGCCACTCACCGTCACCACCTGACCAGCCTTCAGAGTGAACTTTGGCGGGAAGCGGTAGGTCAGTAGGGGATCATCTCCATTCTGGCGCTTGATCTGCCAGTTGCCCATGGACTGGTCCTGCCAGGGAGAGAAGGGGAAGGTTGGGGGAGGCTCGTTCAGGCTCTTGGGTTTATCTCACTCTATTCTGCCCCCCACTGCCTTCCCCCTCAAGGATAAATAACAGCTAGCGTCTGTTGGCTCTTATGCTGTGCCAAACACACTCAGTACTTTCATTTTCCCAAGACTTCAAAGGGTTAGGGACTATTATCATGCCCATTTTACAGATGAGGAAATCGATGCTCTGAGAGGTTAAATAAATTGCCGAAGGTCTCACTGCCACCGATGAGTCCCGGAGCCAGGACTGGAACAAGAGTGTGGAGGAGATACCCACACTGCCCTGGTCTGCCTCTGATGGGAGGAACAGCCCTCCCCACAAACTCCATCCCTTCACTTTCCAGGTTTTCTCCCTAACCCGGATGCATTCTCTTAGACCCAACCCTGGGGGACTACCTCGTTGGACTTGTTCCGCAGGCGTACGAACTTGCCCTCCTCATCCACCTCCTCCACGGCCACGCGCCCGCTGGTGCGAGCGTGCTGGGAGAAGCTGCTGCGGCTCTCCGTGGACTCCAGCTTGCGCTTTTTGGTGATGCTGCCCCCACTCTGTGTCTGGGACGAGTGGGAGGAGGCCCGGCCGCGGCTGCGCTGCGAGGTGGGGCTGGGGGATAGGCGTAGCCTGCGGAGGGGGAGACAGGGTGGGGGGCCTAGTCAAGGCCGGTGGCGGGCCGGAGGCGGCCGCTAGCACCTCCCCGACTCACGCACAGCCCACCTCCCCTCCTCGCCCTCCAGGAGCTTGCGGTAGGCGTGGATCTCCATGTCCAGGGCCAGCTTGATGTCCAGCAGCTCCTGGTACTCGTCCAGCTGCTGTTGCATCCTTGCCCGCATTTCCGCCATCTCCCGCTCCTTGTCTGCCAGCAGCCGCCGGCTGGTGTCCCGCTCACGGGCCAGCGAGTCCTCCAGGTCCCGCAGCTTTGCTTCCTTGGCCGCCAGCTGGGTGACAGGGGGCAGGGGTCTGATGAGCTCCCAAGGGCCCCAAGTATGGAGATGTAAGGGGCAGGGGACACCCAGCTATCCTTCCCAGGATCTCCAGGCTCCCATCAGAGCCTTTTATGGCTTTAATGTGGCCTCAGCTGGCTGGTGACGACTGGGGAGGCCTTCTCAATATCCATCTGAAATCTCTTAATCTGAGGCTAGAACCTATTTCCTCTGCCACAAGTGGCACAGCCAGCTAGAAGAATACTGATGCTTTTAACACCTCACACTGGGTCTCGTGGCAGATCTATGAGTTAGGGAGGATAAGAATGATCTCCATATTCAAATGTGAAAACCAAGGCTCTGAGAAGCGAAGGTCTTACAGGCGAGATAAGAGGTAGTCCTGGAACAGCAAACAGGTCATCTGACTCCAAATCCTAGGCTTCTTACTCAGCCTGTGGTCCTGGGGGCATGTTCTGTCCACTACCCTCCCCTCCTCAGGACTTCCACTTGACATCCTGACATCCTGCCCAGACTACTGGCTGATGGGGGAGGGGCGGGGTGGGGGCATCACCTGCTTCTGGAGCTGGCTGAGCTGGGCGGAGAGGCTGTCGATGCGGACGCGGGACTGCTGCAGCTCCTCGTGGGCGGCCCCCATCAGGTTGCTGTTCCTCTCGGCTGACTGCCTGGCATTATCCAGCTGGAGGGGAGGACACAGGGTTAGGGCTGCAGCGACCAAAGGCAGGAGGGACCTGAGAAGGGCATCACTGCTGCAGCGTCAGGTGCCGGGTACCCTGAGCTCCTGCCACCGTCCTCCTGATCTCCCACAGGACATCTCAGGGTGGGCGGGTGGAGGGCTGCTGGGGGCAGAGGCAGCAAGGGAGCCACGGGAGAATGAGCACCTTGGCAGAATAGGTCTTCTCCAGTTCCTTCTTGTACTGTTCCACCTGGTCCTCGTGCTGGGCCCGCAGCTCCTGCAGGGCATCTGCCAGCCGGCTCTCAAACTCACGCTGCTTCCCATTATCAATCTCCACCAGGCGCGTCTCATGGCGGCGCTTGGTCTCACGAAGCTCCTGGAAGGGTTGGACCCAGAAACCAAAATCAGAACTAGTCCTTCAAGGATGAAACCCAAGTTCCCGGCCCAGTCCTAACCCTGAATGGAGTCACTGTAAAGCCCCACTTTAACCTGGGGGCTGGCCACCCCCCAACTCCCCATCCACTAGTACAAGGGAGTCAGGCAGGGAGCTCTGCACACAGCTGATCCCCCAGCCCCAGCTCTGATGTCTGTCACCACCCAGCCCTGGTCCTCCGGTCTGCAGGGCACAGTTCCCACCTCGCTGTAGATGTTCTTCTGGAAGTCCAGCTCCTCCTTCAGGGTCTGCAGCCTGTTCTCAGCATCTACCCGCCGCAGCATCTCATCCTGAAGTTGCTTCTTGGCCTCACTCAGGGCTGCCTCGAGCTGAGAGGAAGGGGGCAGAGGTCAGGGAGAGGGATCATAGGACATCAGAGCTGGAAGGAAGCTGAGAAGTGGACTGCGTCCAGCACGTCCCTTTATATGTGCAGAAACAGGTCTAGGGGAGTGAGAGCCTTGGATACCCACAGAGGTAATAATATATTTATTCCCTCACAGTAATGACTCTGGGTAGGTACTGTGCTAAGAAAAAAAAAAAAGACAGTGCCTCCTTTCTCTGGCACAACATAGCAATTGCTATAACGGAAGTATGTCCAGAGTACAGAAGGAATATGAGGGAAGGAACCAAAGTGTGCCTGGGGTGGTAGAGGGGGCTTCCGGGAAGACCTCCAAGAGGCTGAGATCTGAAGGACAGGTGAGTGGGGCAGACAGGAGCCAAGCGCAAAGGCACAGAGGGAAGGAGGCACACATGTGCACTTCAGGATCCCCAGAATGCTCAGTACTGCTGAAGCCTGAAGGACAGGGCTCGGGGGGTAGAGTGACAGCAGAGGCGGCCAGACTGGAAGGCAGGGGCTTGATCGTGGAGAGACGCACCCTTATCTGCCACGAAACAATCCTCTGAAGCTCAAGCGGGGGGGCACCCGTCTTAGATCTTCATCTTAGAGAGCACAAGCTGGGAAGTGAAGCTGGGAAGGGCTGGGGGCAGGACCTGGGAGGAGAATGGCCCAGGCTTGGTTTTCTTGTCAACATGCTGCCTTCTCCTGGTCTCTCCACGGTGTACCGTGGCGGCAGGGCCTGGGAGGGAAGACAGCCCAGGACAGAAGCTTGGTGACTGTCTCTAGTCCTGGCCCCACTCTGAGCAGATGTGACTGTGAGATTGGGAACAAGCCAGCTTCTTTGATTCTGTTCCTTAGCTTGTAACATGAGAGATTAGAGGCTAGAATACATAGCAAAGTGTTTTGAAAGTAAAGACCATCGTATACATGCTGAGCACTGAGAACATGCATCCATATGTGATCAACCATCAGCTCCCCATCAGGGCTCTGGGGACAGTCTATATCCTCTCCTGCCTCCCAGAGAGGTCATGGCTCTCTCTAGCAGGGTCAAACCGGGAGGGATCCAGGGCCAGGCACAATTTATTGCAAAGTTAAATGGAAATGGCTTGTGGATTCTTTTAAATTCACCGTGCTAGACATCATGGGCAGCAAAGGAGGATGCAATATGGTCTGGATGGGTGCAACGATGGTAGGACATGGGAATGGCTCTGATGCCATGTGACAGGTCAGACTGGGCACCTCCTAAGGGGGCCTGGGGTGGAAGAGTGAGTGTGCATTTGGCAGGGGAGGGGGCACAGGTGTCAGGTGGCATCACAGGCGGGCCTCACCTTGGCCACTTGCCCCCGCAGGTCATGCAGCTCGCTCTCCAGCGTGCGTTTCTCACTGAGAGCAGTGCTCAGTGCGGCCTCCTTGGAGTTGAGCAGAGCCTCCAGGTCCTTGAGCCGGGCCTGGGCAGCCATCAAGTCTCCCTCCTTCTTGGTATTGCTAAAGAAGCCAGGGAAGAGTGGGTTTAAGAGGAGGAGTCTGTGTTCCTAGAGAGAGCCAGGTCCCCCAGGGAGAGAGAGAAGTCAGGTTCTGGGAGGTCAGCTGTGGGGCCTGGCTCTGCTATCCCTCAAACTGCCAGGGGAGGGCATCCTTGACTTTGGTTTGTTTGCATCTGCCTGCCTCTGGGGCTGGACTCCCACTTCCCCCAAGGTCCCCAAAACCCCCTTCCTGCTTCTCCACCCTTCCCATGACTCAGTACTCAGGAACGTGCCTGGGGCCAAGGGCAAAGCTCGATCCCGTGAGATGAATGCTTTTCCCTCTCTCCCCTCCCATTCCTTCCCAAAGAGACAGAGCCACCTTTGTCTCCTGCCCCTTCCCACAGAGGGCCTTAACCTTCTCCCCCGACTCCACCCACCTTCCATTCAGCCAAGCCTCCTTCCCTGCGGGTACCCAGACAGCCAGGCTCCTAGGCCTTGGGTCTGTGTGTCCCTAACACTTATCAGTTTGAGACCTAAAGGTGTCTGTCACCTCCCCTAGTCCCTTTTACACACAGGGAACTGCTGGGAGGGCAAGTCTGGTTAAAGCTCAGGGGAACCTGGGATGAGGACAGCCAGGCATGGTACTGACCCTTCCCTTTCTCGGACCCAGTCTAGGTCCCCTGATCTGGTCAGAGCACAGGGGTTCCAGCCTCCCTCCCTCTGGGCCTCATCAGAGCCTGAGAATGCTGAGCCTGACACACTGACCACAGGCTCCAGCATCTGGCTCCAGATGTGACCCCCAGGCCTCCAGGTCCATCTGGGTTCCAGCCTTGAACCTCCCCACTCCTCAAACTGGGTAAAGCTTTAGCTAGAACCAACCAAACAGGGGTTGCCTCTGCCACCTCCCTTCCCTTTCTGGGCCGCTGATGATTTTTGCTGGAGAGTGACCTAGAGAAACAGAGGGATCCTATTTTCTTAAAGACCTCTGGGGAACCCAAGAACTTTTCAGTTGTAATGATCTCTTCAGCAATGCGTGGTGAGAGAAACCACTAGACCCAGGGAGTGGAAGGACAGAGACAAGGGGCCTGGTCCCAGTTGCCATCTGCAACTCATCAGACTTCAAGCATGAACCCACCATGGCAGATGGAAAAAAGGAAAACCAAACGTGGGCAGGGGGAAAAAATTCTATCCTGGAAAGGAGAAAAGTGGCCCTGCCAACATTTTTCTCCTGCCACCAAAGCCCTCAGCTCCAGCAGACCCAACAGTTCACTGTGAAGCAGGATGGAGAAGGCTAGACTGGAGGCAGCTCTGGAGGGAGGGCCTGAGACTGAGATGGTGTTCTCCTGCCACCGGCTTAGATTTCAAACAGGAGCCACCTCCCCTCCAACTGGGCTCCACTGGGAGGGGGGACAGAGCAACGCCCAGACAGGCAAGGGAAGGACCCGAAGACCTGGGGGGAGCACCCCCAGCCTGCACGCTTGCTCTGTCCAGGCCTCTGGCCACATCTCAGAACAAGCTGTTTAATGCAACAGTGTCTGTCTCCTGTGAAAAGAGGCCCTTCCAGATCTGGAGGATGTCTCCCCTCCTCCGTCTCAGCCAGAAAAGCTAAAAATAAAGTCAAAACCCAGCTCAGGTTTTGGCTGCCATCCGGCCCAGCCCCTGGCTGGGAGCATAGCCCCAACTTTCCATGACTTCAGAACTTTTCCGAAGCTGAGGCAGCTGCACGGCGAGGAGGGAAAAAGAAGAAAAACTGCTGGTAAAGTGAAGCGACGCAGCAGACATAGATTCCGAGCCCCTTGGGCTGACTGCAAGGTTGGCAGGGACTTCCCAGCCAAGAGGCCTCTCTACCCTGCAGGCTAACGGCTGCAGCTGGCCATCCTGGGAGGCTCTCAGAATTTAGAGAACTAGAAGGAGCTGAGCATACGTTCAGCTTAACCCCCTCCTTGTACAGATGAGGAAACTGAGGGACAGAGGAGGAAGGTGAGTGACCCAGTGTCAAGCACAGCAAGCAGCTATGGGGACCTGGGGGGGGGGCGGTCACAGTCAATTCTGGCTGCTGATCAGGACTCCTCCCTCCTCCCCTCCCCTCCCTCCCCTGCTTGTGGGTATGCCGTCCGCCTCTGGGGCCAGTGGTACCCTCTGGGGGGCACCAGCTTAAATATAGTGGCTAATGAAAGAAAACGTGAGAAATGAAGGGAAACTGTGGACAGGATGAGTGGTGGGAGATGAGGCGGTGGAAGGTTAGGGTCAGCGTGAACTGGAGCCTGGAGGACCCCGTGAGCGCTCGGTGAGACACCTACTTCCGGTCATCATGGGGGTAGGCGTGTGGACAGTATGGATGTTTGTGGGCTGGGTGTGCATGCGTGTGCGTGCGTTTGTGTGTGTGTGTGTGTGTGTGTGGGAGAGAGAGAGA